CGGAGTTTACAATCACGTACAAGGATCCCCTGGTGCCAGTCGACAAAGGGCGGTCGAGAATTGATGCAACGCGCGCCGCGTTCTAACGGAATAAACACAAGGTCAGCAATAGAAGATATCTGCGATGAAGAGGAAAAACCCTCTTAAAGCTCAGGCATCGCGGTGTCCTCACACTTGTCCCTCCTCAGACTCGGCACGTCGTTGGTCCATAGCGGCAAATGCGTCATCCATCAATACGTCCGAGTCGTATCCCCCAGCGTTCTCGGCTGCTGTGCGATTCAAGACGCGGCTGTATTTGGACGAACAGGTTAGCTGCAGAGACAAAGATGAGAATACTGGGCAGGAAAAACCTCCTTCGTTATTCTAACTGGAGATTATTGAAATTTTCCCAAGCTTAGAGATAGTGTAATGTAGACACAAGCTATGGGAAATATACCACTGAAAATTTGCCACTAGGGCCACCATGTAAAACTCATGGGCAGGAGGGCTGAAATTTGTATTAATGGTGGCTCTGTGGTGAACAGAGCGGAGGACGTTTGGGCGTCGTCCGACTCGTCGGTGAGAATGAAGAACAAGCACGTGACATAGCAAACATGACCAAAGAACGCGTGAGTGCCACGTCCAACTTGAAGTCCATAACGCCCCCACTACTGAAGATCCGTCAGTGGATTCAGTTTAACCATCTTCCGTCCGCTTCGGGGTGAGTCAAGTTGCTCTCGCGGACAGATCAAATCCTCCGCCGTCTCGCCATAAAGATCAAGTCAACGACTGCACTCGTTCACTCCCACTGAGTCTAGCCTCTGTCATTCCAGAGCGATCCGCGCGAAGCATGGCCAATCGTATCGAGGACGAGATACCTGGAAATATTCAAATTACGGATGCCGAGTCGTTCTACTCTACCCTCCTCACCCTCGATAGAGACATCATTGATCGCACCACCGCCCGGTTTACACACGACAGGGGGCTCACAAGTCTAGAGATGTTTCCGTGGGACGAGACCGATGACACGCAGACACACCTTGAGGCTGACATGTATGCACCTTTCAGTTTGCTTGCAAACACCATCTTGAGGTGTGCCGTCCGGGAGGGGCACCACGTTCATTCCCACTGGATCTCCCGTGCGAACCACTACCCCAGATCCCTCGACGAAGACAGCTCACTCTTCCGTCCTGACGGTTGCTGCGCGCTGGGCGATCAGACCGGCTACTGTGCCGCGTTGGATATATTGGAGTCTTTGGAGTCTGACGATGAGAGTGGCGGTCCCTCGTCTCTGGAGCAGGTACGCTCGAACTGATGGCATGACACTACACTCTAGCGCTTACCAGTGGACTGCAGGCACAGGTATTGGCAACAATTGTGGCGCGCTACGCAGACGTCCGTGTTCGATATTATCAGCCAGACTCTGGCCAGGAAACGCCCAAAGCCCATCCCCTTGAAGAGCAGGTCCAAAAGTTGCGAAAATGCATTGAAGATCTGACGATTGCGTATCCGGAGACAGAGTATATGGCGGATGGGGTCCTGCAAGAAGACCTGAAGAAAAGGCTGAATCTTGTGGTGCGATCACCCCGTTCCGATGTGCGCGAAACGTACTGATTTACCTTTCAGCTCAACGAAGCAACGGAAACTCTCAAATTCATTGACGGCCCTCCAAAGGGCAAGTCTCAAGAACCTGTAGATCAGTTGGTGCGAACCCCTTCATCGGAATGGCATGTTCGTTACCTAAGAGCTCTCTCGGGGTTAGCTGGAACGCACGCATCAGGCCATACGCTTTATGTATCGCTCACTTCCCGTCTTCAAGTATTGCAAGGCGTCTCGGAAAAAACTCCGCACGATGAAATCAAGCTGCGGGTTGAATCAGGTGTGCCTCGAGTTGATTCACTATAGCAGCCTTTCTAAATTTGGTGCTGACGTACCGGCAGGTCAAGAAGCTCGAGAAGACAGCGACGCTGTGGTGGCTACGGGTTGTTGCACCACTAGAAATGAAGCCAGTCAGGGACGCCCACTCCGTGCGGGTAGGCTCTGCACAGTTGCTTCGGTGCATGCGGCTGGTTCTCAGGAACCAGCTGGACCGACAATTCGTCTTTGGGATCCTTGTTTGCGGCCAATACATGCGGGTCTTCTTCTGCGATCGGTCAGGCCTTCTAACCACGACGGAGTGGATTGATCTGCACGATCCCGAGGTAAGACTTCTCCTGCCGAGTCACGGGACGTCGTTCACGCAGCCTCACGCACACTTCAGGACACAAAGACGTTCGTCCATGTCGTCCTTGCCCTCTCTTCCATCAAGGTGGCTAAGCTTGGGTGGGACGAGACGATGAAACTGCATCGCCAGTCCGTCTCCTTGCCTTCCCGACTTCAGTTTGAGTACTCGACAGATCCGTGCGTGCGCCTGGCGGACTACGGAAAGTCGTCGTACGAGACGCAGTGGGCCATCTTCGTTCCCGACGAGAAGGGGTCGCAGACGGGGAAGTGGTACGTGACGGTGCGGGCGCTGAGTCTGAGCCAGGCAGAGGTCATGGCGGGGCGGGCGACGATGGTGTGGATGGTCAAGGAGCTGAATGACGATCTTCGTACCGTGAAAGAGGTGAGTGACCCATGCGAGTTTCACGCGAGGGCGCACCTTAGTCCAACACGAAGTTCAGGATAGCTCCGGCGTTATCAAGGTGCTCAAGAGCGCTTGGAATCGGGCTGGCTCTTACTTCCAGACAGAGAAGGACCTGCGAGGAGACGTTGACCTGAAGCACGTCGTGGACATCCAGATCTCCGTTCCCGTTGGGCTGGAAACCATCCAGACCACGAAAACGTCGTCCGCCATCCGCGGCAAGATCCAGGGTTACGTGAGCACATGGAAAGACGGTGTTGGGTTCTCCGAGAGGGCTGCGACGGGGAAGAGAAAGATTGTTCCCGAGCCCTCGGGCGATCTGTTTGACCATCGCACTGCGTTGGAAAGAAGCGACGGTGTGGCCTCGACATTGATATCTCGAGTGCTCACACGGACCGTGATGCGGACGTATGGCTGGCCAATCAAATTCTTCAAGGACCGTGTGGAGTTGGTGACGGTTCTTCGCGACAACGTAGTGGGTACGTGTGCTTTTGATAACCCGAGAATCCATTTCTGACCCTGAGCAGGCCATCGAGAGCTCTACTTTAAGCGCATGGTGGCTCACCGCGATGCTAGCACAGGCAACGTCATGATCAGCGTCGTTGGCAGAGACGTCACAAACACCCAGGGCGTGCTGATTGACCTTGATCATGCGAAGAAAGCAGACAAGCGGTGTACAGCCAACATGGATAAGTTGGGGTGGGATACCTTCTGGATTATGATGAAAAGCCGATACAAGTCTTTCAACAATGCGGACTTAGCTCTAACACTATGGCAGCGTTGTCAGGGAGATATAGTGCAGACGTTGGCTCTGGTGAGATGGAGCGCCTCACGTGCCAACGCTTTCGAGCCTGGGAGAGGCATAGATGACTCAAAGTGGGACAGTGTCCAGGAACAGGTGAGATCATCATGATCTGGAGTATTGTTGGTCATGCTGAACAAATCTGGAACCTAGCTTCAATTAATGCTATCGTTTCCTCTATTGGGCCCAAATTTTGATCTCCAAGGTCATTTCTCGGAAGATAAGGTCAGCTTTCCGTAGCGTGCAAAGTATGAGGCGGCTGAGGTGAGCTCCTGCAGAACTGGCCGCCTTCTTGGGTTCAGTCGCAACACAAAAGCAACCTTGAAGGCATAACGGTAACCCGCGTTTTCCCAGCAGTCGCAGTTAGCACAACTCACAGTTTTCACAGGGGACTCCGCCGTTCATCAGCTTTGAGGTGCTCACTTCTCCTTCACAACCCTATCCCACCGGCAGTCTCAATCTCCGGTCAGACATGATACAGTTTTCCCCGGTTCACAGCGCTATCCATGATTTAGAATCGCTTTTCTGGATCTTTCTCTACCTCTGTCTGACACGGGTGGGACCGGGTGGTGCCCGACGCAAAGAGTTCGACCAGAGCCCTGTAGGCCGTGCACCGGACGACCCTGTGACCAAGCTGCACACCGCTGTGTGGTGCCTGTTTGAGAACACGTCGGAGAGTCTCGCAAAGAACAAGCTTCGTTTGTTTGAGCATCCGCACTTGCTCAAGGATTTCCTCATCCCGCTGATGGATGAGTATTTCGCGCCGCTTCACCAGCTCCTGATCGACTGGTGGGACTTGCTGCGGTGGTCTTACCACACTTACGACGATCTGGAGCAAGGGCTGATACACCTCAAACTCATCAGCCTCCTCAGCAAGGCGGTCGAGGAACTGAAGGAGTCGCGGGTGGACGAGTTGGACATGGAGCGGAACGACGCGGTGAAGGAGATGACAGAGACGGAGTTGGAGCGACGGCGGGTGGACTTGGAGAGATACTGGAGCTTTCCTGCGCCGTACGACCCGTGCTCTGCCCCTCGGGTAGCGCTGGAGCCTGTTTCGAATGCTGCGTCGCCCAAAGCTGCGAGGGGGGGCACACATATTGCCGGTGCTTCGAGCACCGCGGCAGCCCAACCTGAATCTCCAACGCCTCGTTCCGGGCCAGCAAGAAAGAGACATTGTGGAATGTCAGATACCCTGTCAGGACACCGCAAAGGAGGCGAGGAGAGTGATTCGATGTCTGTAGAGGGGGCTGTCAAGCAGCCTGTGTTCAAGTAACGGTCAAGCGTACTGTACGATTTGTTGAAAACCATGATGTTGAGGCTCTCGTCGCTCATGTTTTCCTAGCAACCTTGCCAATGTCCTGTTCAATCTCTTCCACAACCCGGAACTCCTCCTTTGGCTAGACCAAAGCACGATATGTCGCGCCGATATAGGCCGATATATGCAGTCTGGAACGTGTTGACCCGACCCTATGAGGGACACTTCGGGGATATCATCTATATCCCCCGGCAAGAAGTAACGTGGGGTAAGTTCGAGAGACTTCCAATCGTGTTTCACGTTTATGAGGATACAATCTTAATGTTACAGGAACTTACATCGCCGGGATAGCTCAGTTGGGAGAGCAGCAGACTGAAGCGAGTCACATGATCAACATGTCACGTGTTCTGAAGGTCCCGTGTTCAATCCACGGTCCTGGCATTGCTTTTTGGGCCAAATCCTTTGACTTTCAGCAGCATAATCGTGTTCAATCCACGGTCCCAAACTTTTGTAAATTTGACTTTTGTTTGGCAATTCATCAGGTTTGGGGGTTGGTTAGGCATTTGAACCGGTCCATGACATTGGTCGAGTTTGAGACAAGATACAGTAATACATGCAGGGATTTGAAGACTAATATACAGGTGAGATCACTCCCTGTTCATCGAGTCTCGATGATGAGACGATCTGCGACGGAGTTGAACGTTGCGAGCGAGGAACCTACATTGCACTGTTAGCAAAAGAGATGATGTTTTTGTGACAGGTCACTTGCCGAGGCCGGCCTCACGCGAGAACGATACTGCGGTGGGTGAGGCAACCGGGGACAGCACTTGGGAGGCTTCGTTGTATGACCACTTGTGGGCAGCAGCGACTGATACATTGGTCAGCGCAACTAATGTGCGTGATCGAGTGAACCGACTTACTGGGTAAGAGCTGTTCTGCTGGCATTCCTAAGTACGCCTGTGCTAATGCGAGTGGAACAGTAGAATATGCCTTTGACAGCAATGTGAACGTCTTTGCTCGGAATGATTCTGTGTTCGTTACTTCCAGTTTGAGCTTCTCGCGTGGTTAAGAGACGTAGAAATGACGCACCGACAAATGATATAACTAGTCTACTAAGAAGTGGGGCAAGGTCAACATGAGAGGCAAGGTTCTCCTGTTGTGTTACAGCCAGAACATCATTGGCGCGGGTGTATACCTGATCATACTTCTTTTCCCATACAGCCGCGACCAGGGATTGCAAAGATGTGGCCAAAGGATCCGAAGAGAGTACAGCAGGTATCCTCGACAATGCAAAGCGGGCAGGTGGGCTAGGGTAGAATGAGACATCCGCAGTCGAAGTGTAGTGGACCATAAAGCTTACAGTGAATCCAGGATCAGATATGAAAGCACCAAAGGCGCTGTGAGTAAAAGCCGAGAGACATGGTCATCGTGCTCAGCCTACAATAGAATATGAGATACATGTCGCAGTTTGACGATCAACAAAACGTACGTGCAGATCTCCTCTCTCAGCTACCTCAACTACAGCAGCATACTCAGCTCTCGACACAAGCTCTGCTATAGTTGGGAAGAGCAGGTGGTAGTAGGTAGTCAATTGTTGCTGTACGGAAGCAGCTGAAGCTGGAGTCTCCTCTGTTGGCGGGTCTGTCACGATGGGCTCCGCCTCAGTCTCGGTTTGCTGAGTGGTGGTAGCAATATCAGTCGGCGGCACCGAGGCGCGAGCAGCGTCCTGAATCTCGATCGCAGACGTTGGCGGGGGAGTGGGAGGTCCTGTCATATTCTTGTGTGTGGATTTTTTGCAAAGTCGCGGGTGATAACGACGAGAGCAGAACTGTGGCGATGGACAGGAGAAAGAGGAGGACGCGCTCAGGACGCGTCGACCACGTGCAGAATTCAATGATCGTGACCTACCCTGCCTCGTCGTAGCCGACAGCGCCCACAACTTCACCTTCTCCACACATCAGCCAGCTCAGCTTTTCTCTAACCATACCATCATGATTGAAGGATTCGGAGACGACGAGATCGAGAGTATCCTGTACATCGGAAGGGAGGTATCCGGTGAGCACAACCACGATCCTGGACGACCAAGGATGACTTCATAATATTCATCAGTCTTCAAGATCCCACCGCTCAAGGCGAATGCTGGGCATCGTGCTCAGGAGTGGGGAGATTTAGGACAACCTCTATGGAAGGGCAGAATGCGAATCATTGAGCGATCGAGCGGTGTGGCTATCCAATTTGAGGATGCCACCAGCGGTGAGCACCCTGGTTCCGTGCCACAGCATGCCCTTCTGAATGGTATTGCAACATATAGGTGAACGTACGTACTGCACGTAATTCCAGACTCCTTTACCATATTGACAATGATTAAATTGAGACAGTTTTTGCAAAAGCAGACTACGATCCAGCCAAACCTTGCGTTGAAGCCGTTCTCGATTCATCACGATACTTCGTTGTCCGGGTGGAGGATAATGGCAAGCGGGCGTACATTGGAATGGGATTCTTGGAAAGGACGGACAGTTTTGACTTCAGTACGTGTTGTTTCAAATCGATTGATGACCCCTCTCATCTCCCTGCAATGTGTAGATGTTGCGTTACAGGATTATACCAAGTCAGTTATATCCTCAGCCGTCTTTGCCCTGTTGCTCATATACCCCTAGGCGTTGGCGTGCTCTTCAGAATCCTCAAAGTGCAGAGGAGAACAAGCCGTCACCACACGTTCCTGCTGGTCCGAAGAAGGACTACAGCCTCAAGGATGGCCAAACATTCTCAATCAACATTCCTGGGCGTAAATCCAACAATTCTGCAACGGCAACGTCCACCTTCGACCTTCTCGGTGGAAGCAGCAGCGCATCCAGTTCTTCAACGAGCAGTGGAGGAGGTGGCGGATTCCCACTTCTTCCACCACCGCCAAGCGCACCAAGGAAACGATGAGACGGATTCGGGATTAGGTAGTCCATCGGTATGCTTTTCTGTGTTTGTACACTCATATTGGAAACATTTCATCGCGCTTGCATAAGTCGTCCCCCTTGTTGGTACTTTAGGTGAGATACTCAACTCCACTCGCTGTCCGGTAGTAGGAATTGACATTTACAATTTCAGTCCCTATCATGACATTCTTCATGATGTTTGCATACCAGAGCGTCCCCGAGGTTCAACTCAAAATCAGCTTCTTTCTCCGGATCTCGCTCCATCCCCACCACATTCCCCGGATGTTTTCAGTAGTTTTCCCCGCTACAGGCTCGGATTTTAGGATGACAGCTGGGGGCATCCTCGATGTTACCTCGCGAACCAGGGTCCAGCGGTTTAATCCCTGTTCGTCGGGACAACCATGTCGCTAGAAAACGTCAAAACAGAGCCGTAGATTCTGCGGTTTCATCCGAGCACTAATGTAACTCCTAGGGCCCGTTGGAATACTGATTTCCTCCTCCAAATAACTCTCGAAGTCGCTATTCTCGCTGCTCCGTGCGACGAAGATCATGCGCAGGCAAGTTGAAAAAAAATCTGACCACGTCGCTGATTTCCAAGTCATGAGCTTTGGGAGGTCGTGTCGTTGTGGAGTGCCAAGTGTGGTCGTGGTTCTCTCGGAGGCAATTGACAACTTCTCGCGTCTGAGGTACCCATTATCGGGGTTTGCTTTGTTTGTACTAACTGTAACACCATGCCATGTTCAAGAGTCAGCTTTGGCTACTCAAAGTCAAATCCCCTTTAACAAAGGTATGGAGCCCATCATAAGCCAACGAGAACGAAAGCTAATGCGTGGATAGACCTCCCTACGCTCTTTTGTGTTGCATCTCGTTTTGCGAGGAATAATCATTCCAGCATCGTTACACAAGCGCCCGCATCACAAGACACTCCCGCCCTTAGGATCACCTTCTAACGATGTGCAATCACGACTGTCAAGTGATCGCGCTATACCCAGTCATGCTACCAGTTGCATGACCCTTCAGACGTCCGTCGGATGCTTTCGTTCGCGCCATTATTCGGAATTCTCCTACATGAACGGAGAACGGGTGAGCAGGCACCGAGGATCAGCGATATATTCACCCCTCGCATTCAATACGATCGCTATAATACTTAACAAATATCCTCTATAGGTACCCCGCATTCTCTGTCACGACATCCACCATGGGGGAGAAACTATAGGCAACATCCAACCGCCTTCGATGGACAGGTACCGAACTTCAACCGAAACGCAGTCGTGAGCAGGTGAGTAGTTGCAGTGGCATCAGATGTCATTGTCTCGCTGACATGTCGAGAAGAACCTCCAGTTTCTCATCTGACCCTACTAGAAACGTGTTGCTGGACAGCAAATGACCCCTTCCGACTCCCGACGAGCTTCCGCTCTCGCTGCAAGTAATGCTCGGCTCATCGCCGGATGTTTTTTTTAGTTTGGCTCAAGGATGTTGTGATGCTGTTTTACTGGGGTGATCATACTTCCTGCACGTATGGTATCTCGGCTAGACGGGCGCGAGAGGTGATATAAAGCAGGAGGGAGGAGGGGGTGGAGTTCCTCAGAGTACAGTCGTCTTCTCTCTCCTCCGGCCCAGAACGAAAATGAAGTCCACCTCCGCCCTTCTCGCCCTCGTAGCCCTCCTCCCCGCCTTTACTCAGGCCCAAACTGCCCAGTGGGGACAGTGCGGTGGTATTGGCTTCAGTATGTCCCGACCCTGCCCGCTCTTGATTGATGGCTGACCATCTTGTTTTACAGCTGGCTCTACCACTTGTGTTGCAGGATCGGTCTGCACCAAGCAAAACGACTACTACTCCCAGTGCATGTAGGTTGCTTCGGTATATCATGATACCAACATGAAGACTGACCGTGTCTTGAAGTCCCGGAGCACAGGCACCACCAGCTACCACTGCACCACCCGCAACCAGCGTACCACCAGCAACTGGCGCCCCAAGCAAGCCCAGCTCTGCTCCTGGCAGCACCCCCACCACCGTCCCATCAGCCTCCAACCCATTCAACGGCTTCGAGATCTACCTCAGCCCTTACTACGCCGCTGAAGTCGCTGCTGCTGCCGCCAAGATCACCGACCCCACTCTTGCTGCTAAGGCCGCCTCTGTCGCGAAGATCCCCACCTTCACATGGTTCGACACCGTCGACAAGGTCCCTCAACTCGGCACATACCTCGCTGACGCCCAATCCATCCAGAAGAGCACTGGCAAGAAGCAGATTGTTCAGATCGTCGTCTACGATCTTCCCGACCGTGATTGTGCTGCCAAGGCATCCAACGGAGAGTTCTCCATTGCCAACAACGGCCAGGCCAACTATGAGGACTACATTGACAAGCTCGTCGCTCAGATCAAGCGTAAGCTTCTCCTGTTATGCAGTCAGTAGGCAAAATCGCCTGACGTATCTTCTTCAGAATTCCCTGATGTCCGCGTTGTTGCTGTTTACGAGCCTGATTCATTGGCCAACCTCGTCACTAACTTGAACG